GCCCCCACGGCCGTGGCCGCGACCAATCATGAATGCGTACCTCAGCTCCACTTCCGCACTCCTAGCTCACGTGACCCAGATCGCCCAGGCTCTGGGCCAAGGAGGGGCGGGGCTTGGGCCTAGCGTCACTGGGCCCGAGAGGCGGGGCTCTGGGAGGTAGGGGAGGTCTTCTGCCTCTACTAAAGAGGGAAGGCTATGGGGATTTTAGCAGTTGCTGAATCTGTTTGCGTAGACCTCTTGTCTTTCCTCCACTTTTAAGATTTGCTTTTCACGCCATGTGATTTACGTGCCCATCTCATCCTCGACTTGCACTCTAGGATTCTCAGATAACCTGATTATGGTGAAGTCTTAGGTCATGTAGTGTGTAAAGGCTGTAAACATCCTCAGTATTCTTTGGGGGACGACCCTATTGTTTCTATTTTGTGAGAGGCTTCAGTCTCGCCTGTACAGGGTCACATGATCCAGACATACAGAACCACAGATCCTGGCCACTTTCCCCAAAATGGACAGTACTATCTTTTGAAATACATTCTGAAAATGAACTTCCCAGCAGAGAACTGAAGGGCAAAGGAGCCAAGCAGGGTAACTTCCTCTGAATCGTGATTCTAAAACGTCCGAAAAACATTTTATCTGGCACAATCAGTGAAGTGGAATTTTCAACACGCTGTACATAGCTTTCATGGTGAAGTACTGTGACCTTTCATTGCTGATAACCGCTGAGCGCTTACTGTGTGTTGGGCAGGATTCTAAGTTACTTCGCTATCTTCCGTAAGGTAATTACATTTATTTATTATCTACATTTTATGAATGAACCTTCTGAGACTCTGTGAGGTTAAGTGACTTGCCCCAAGTCCCTAGTCTCTTTGGACTTTACATCAGACACGTCTCTTTTGAACCTGTAGTCCCTCATTCAATTCCTCGTCTTTAAGATGTAAGCTAGCCAGGCAGTAGTGGCACAAACCTCAAATCCCAGCACTCAGATCTCTGTGAGTTCGAGGCCAGCATGGTCTACATAGCTACTTCTAGGACAGCCAAGGCTACACAAAGAGACCCTGTCTCAGAAAAAAGAAGATGTACACAATACCTAGCTCTTGTGTTGTCGGGTAAACTCTGAGGCAGTATACTCGGGGGCAGCTGAAGGAAGCTGTTGTCCAGGGAGAATGTTGTAAGGGAGAATGAAGGAGAAGGAGCGAATCAGATAGATGCTCCCAAGGAATACAAAACATAGTCCCTGGACATAATGGGAGAAGGGAAGAGAGACGTGAAAGGCGAAGACTCCAAGCTTCACTGGACTGAAGGAGCAGTAGGTAGCAGATGTAGAGAAGGGGGCAGCTGGGAGAGTTGCAGGCTTTGGCTACCGACATACTGAGATGGGGAAATAAAAAATGTTGGTGTGACAATGACATCGGAAGAGCAGATGAGCTCAGGGATTACAAATGACACTTGGAGCTGATCCTTGAGTTTAAAACCTCAGCTCTGCCAGTTTGAGCAGCCATGTTTGAGCAAAGTCCCTAATTGTTCACTCTCCTTCCTGTGAATGGATGGCATAGTCACTAACATCTTTCTCCTCCAGTGTCTCACGGCCTGGGATGATCTGTGAAAAGGCCTTGGGACAAAGCCTAGCACACCTGAGCTTTTTCTCTGTTCCAGTAGGACTCAGAGATGAATACCCTCGATTTCAATGAGCTCTCAGGCCTGTGGGGAGGAGCATTCAGTTACAGATAATGAGAGGGCACAGGTAACCAGAGAAACGCACAGATAACAGAGCTGAGATACCAGTGTATTTGTGGCTGTATCTGGGCTGGAATGGGAGGTTCCTAAACAGCAGTTAACGGCAGGAGGGGTCAGTGATGTAGACCTGCAGAGCAGCCTCCTGAAGCCAGGGCAAAGAGCGTTGCTGGGGTAGACATGTCTGCTACATCAGGGAGACACAGCCCGACATGGTAGCTACCAACAGCCTGAGTCATTCGCTTTGGTGTTCAGGACCTCCACCTCAGGTAGAGCCAGAATCTTAACTATACCTCAGAGGGATTTTCAGGATGAACTGTCATGAAATCAAGTTAGTAAATGTACTAAGTATTTAGAAATCGAGTTGTATAAGGAAGGGGCAGGCACAATCTGGAGACATGAATGTGGGCTCCTCCACAGAGAGCCTCACTTGGATGTCTATATGGATGATTTTATGGCTTTGAGAGGTTTGAACTTCTCCAAGGATGTAATTTACAGGGTTTAAAGATTAAGCAAAGTCTAAAATTTATAGTGTAAAAGTTAAGTAGATATATGAACTTGTTAGCTTTTTTTTTTTTTTAAGAATTTTTTGTAGTAAATGAAGTTGTGAACTGATTTTATAAGGTGCATTGTTTAGTTTGGGGCTGAGAGATCTGGAGACAGCTCAGGGGTTAAGAGCTCTCATTACAGCCAGGTGGTGACGGCGCATACCTTTATTTAATCCCAGCACTTGGGAGGCAGAGGCAGGCAGATCTGTGTGAGTTCAAGGCCAGCCTGATCTACAGAGTGAGTTTCAAGACAGTAAGGGCTACACAGAGAAGCCTTGCTGTGGGGGCGGGGGGTAGGTAATAGTTTCACTAAGGTTAGTAAGTACTTGCCACCAAGCCTGAGGTCTTCAATACAGTGCCCAGAATCCACATGATAGAAGGAGAGAACTGATGCCTGAAAAATGCCCTCTGACCACTGTAGTTGTTTTTTTTTCTTTTTTGGGGGCTTGCCCTTCGGTTCCCAATTAATTCACCGAGCCTTGTTTTTTTTTTTGTTTTGCTTGCCTTGCCTTGGCTTGGTTTTCTTCTGGTTTGCTTTCTTTAATTTATCTGATCTCTTTTTTGTTTTTGGTTTTTTCTTTTTCTTTTCTCTGCTTTTCTTTTTTTTTTTTTTTTTTTGTTGTTTTGTTTGTTGTTTGGCTGTGGCCTGGTCTTGTCCTTTTCCTTTTCTTTTCTTTTCTTTTTTCTCTTCTTTTCTTTTTTTTCTCTTCTTTGCTTCGCCGCCTCTTTTTTTTTTCTGTCTTGCTTTTGTGTTTTCTGTTCTTTTTTTTATTAGTCCGGTGTTTTGTTTTGGGCAGGTAACGTAGCTTCGCTTAGTTAAGTAAATGCAGTGTAACATAGTGGAATGCAATACATATTTGCATCATTAAACAAATATTCTGCAGCATAAATGAATGTAACACACCTTCAACTAATATTCCACAATAGACCACCACATATTCATTGTGCTATGTATATGCACAAGTATACACACACATACACACATACATGTAAATAAATGTAACTTTTAAATTAACAAAATTAAAATTAACAGACTAGTTCATTTGCTATTCTTAACATCTGCATTGAGATGTCTTTAAGAAAACACACGCTATCTTTATAGGCAATTCTTTTATCCTTTGTGTTCAAGTTCCTTGATTCTGTCAGCAGGAAAGGGAAACTAGATCCCAGAGTAGGGAGGGTCTTTTTCCGAATGGTTCATGAATTTCCCTTGTATTTCTGTCATGCCTGGGAAGGAGCAGGCAGCAGGAGCTAAGGCTGCAGGTGGGCAGGGCTAGCTGGTTGGGAGAGCTGAATACTGTGTGTTCTGTCCTGTAAGCCTAGGAATGGCTGGATCAGACTGACTACTGTGATTTGAATGAGAATGGCCCCCATATGCTCATACATCCGAATGCTTGTTCTCCAGTTAATGGAGCTGTTTGGGAAGGATGAAGAGGTGTGGTCTTGTTGGCAGAGGTGTGAGGACTTTGAATTTCGAAAGCCCACACTATTCCCAGCTAGCACTCCCCACCTTCTTGTTGTCTCCACACGTAAGCTCTGAGCTGCAGCTCTAGTGCTGTGCTTACACGCCTGCTGCTGTGCTCCCCACCATGATCATGGACCCTATATCCTCTGGAGCTGTGAGCCCCAAATGAAATGCTTTCTTTTGTAAGTTGCCTTGGTCATGGTGTCTCTTCATATCAACAGAAAAGTAACTAAGACACTAGCATTGAGACAGATATTGCAGCGGCTAGAAAGTCATGGTCCAGCCGGGCGGTGGTGGTGCAGGTCTTTAATCCCAGCACTCGGGAGGTAGAGGCAGGCAGATCTCTGTGAGTTCGAGGCTAGCCTGGGATACAGAGTAAGTTCCAGGACAGCCAGGACTGTTTCACAGAGAAACCCTGTCTCGAAAAAAACAAAAAACAGGCCGGGCGGTGGTGGTACACGCCTTTAATCACAGCACTCGGGAGGCAGAGCCAGGCGGATCTCTGTGAGTTCGAGGCCAGCCTGGGCTACAGAGTGAGATCCAGGAAAGGCACAAAAAGCTACACAGAGAAACCAAACCAAAAAAAAGAAAAAACAAAAAACAAAAACAAAAAGAAAAAGAAAGAAAGAAAGAAAGAAAAGAAAAAGAAAAAGAGAAAAAAAAGAAAGTTGTGGGGCTGGAGAGATGGCTCAGAGGTTAAGAACACTGGCTGTTCTTCCATAGGTCCTGAGTTCAATTCCCAGCAACCACATGGTGACTCACAACCATCTGTAATGAGATCTGGCTCCCTCTTCTGGCCTGTAGGGATACATGCAAACAGAACACTGTATACATAATAAATAAATAAATCTTAAAAGAAAAAATCCCCACCCCTACCCCCACCCCCCCCAAAAAAAAGAAAAGAAAAAAATTAAAAAAAGAAAAGAAAGAAAAGAAAGCCGTGGTCTAGAAGATGGATGGGAAGATCATGAGCCAGTGTGGAAATGAAGACATAGAGGGGGGATGCATTTGAGAAGAGGTATGGGGACCACAGAGGTAGACATGGTTGGTTCCTGATGCAGGAAAGTTGGTTAAAAGAAGATGAAAGGGCCAGTGAGAGGCTTGCAGGGTTTGGAGTTGTCAGTGAGTAGTAGTTAGTTGCATCTCCAAGAAAGAATCTCCTACTGAGGAAAATCAGTGGAAGTGAGGGACAAAAGGGCTGATAGCATATATGAAAATGTCACAATGAAACAAATTATGTCTAATATATGCTAATAGAA